GGGGGGAAAAAAAAAACCCCTTTTCAAAAAAAAATTTTTGGGGGGGGTTTTTTAAAAGGGGGGGGCCCAGGGGGGGGGGGGGGGGGAAAAAAGCCCGGGGGAAAAAAAAGGGGGCAAACCTTTTTTCCCAAAGGGGGGCCTTTGTTTTTTTATTTCCCCCCCCATTTTTTTTTTTTTTTTTTTTTTTTTTGGAAATTTTTTCCCCGGGTTTTTTTTTTTTTCCCAAAAGGGGGGGGAAAAAATTTTTTTAAAAAAAAAAAAAAAAAACCCCCCCCGGGGAAAATTTTTTTTTTTTTTTTTTAAAAAAAAAAAGGAAAAATCCGTTTTTTTTTTTAAAAAAACCCGGAAGGGGGGGGAAACCAAAAAAAAAAAAAAAAAAAAAAAAAAAAAAAAAAAAAAAAAAAAAAACAAAACAAACCCCCCGGGAATTTTTTTTTTTTTTTTTTTCATGTAAAAATCATCCGGGAAATGAATTTTTTTTTTTTTTCGAAATGACGGACCGACGGTCGGAAAATCAAAAAAAAAAAAATTCGTCTGCTAGAGTATTCCGACAGTAAAAAAAAATTTTTTTTTTTAAATTGATAAAAAAAAAAATACTCCCGAAAAATTTTTTTCGCCTTCACGATTTTTCCAACGGGATTTCCGAATTTCAAAACGATTTTTCGAATTATTAATAATAATAATATTAATTATTATTATTATTTGTAATTGACCCCTCCATACGTACACAAAAAACGACGCGATAAAATAAACTTAATCGGAAAATCTTTTTTTTTTTGGGGGGGGGGGTAAAAAAAATTGAATCAAAATTTTCTTGCTGGACTAATTTTCTCTCTCTCTGTCTCTCTCTTTCTCCAGGCATTCGAATTATTTTTTAACGTGATTTTTTTTAATTTCTCCATGTAAAAAAAAAAAAAAAAAAAACAATAACAATTTTCCAGAGTTCTTTCTCCAGTTTTAATTTTTCCACGTTAAAAGAAAATCCAACGGCTCATCCGTCGGAAATGGATCGATCGCAAAAATTCAACGCAACTTTCCACAAACTTTTTAATATCATTATTAATAAAAAATGATTTTTCTTTTTTTCGAATCGAACGAAAGCACATGCACTCGCACACGCACGCACGCACTCACGCACACGGACACACACACACACACACACACGCACGATTTCAATTAATTCGACTTGGAAAAAAATTATTAAAAAAAAAAAAAAAAAAAATGGGAATGATTCTTTTTTCGGAAACGCCATTTAACTTTCTTTTTTTTTTTAATTTTTTCGGAGGTCAAAATACTCATAAAAAAAAAAAAAAATCCTGTCATGAGGATTGAAAAAAATTAAAAAAGATAAATAAACGAATTAACGAATGAATGAATGAATGAATGAATGAATGAGTGAATGAATGAATGAATGAATGAAAATTTTATTCGCAAATTAAAAAAAAAAATTCTTTCGCCTGTGAAAACCCTGTGGGGCGACTAAAAAAACAAATCACGAATTCAATAATTTTTTTTTTTTTTTATTACTAAATGAAAAATAAAATTGTGATAAATCAACCGTCGATATATCAGAAGACAACCAATAATAACAACAAAAAACAAAAACAACGACAATAATAATAATAATAATACAAATTCGAGCGATCGAAAGAAAACGAGGGGGAAATAAAAAAACCTGGAAATAAAACCTGGAACCCTAAAAAACAGATGAAACAAATGCGACACACGCAAAAACGCAACTTCAAACTCGTTTTTTTTTTTTTTGTAAAATTTAATAGAATTTATTAGTCGTCAAGGATTTTCATCAAAATAATTTTCTTGCGATGAAACGCCGGATTTCCGGTTGAATTTTTTTCGTTTTTCAATGTGAAGAAATAAAAAATTTACAAATTTGTTGAAAAAAAAAAAAAAAAACATAAAAACGAATTCCAAATTAACGAAAGTAAATTTTCCCTTTCCCTCTCCTTTTTTTTCTCCAGGAAATCAAGAAATTCATCCTTTCGATCGTAGGCTTATCCAAAAAAAAAAAAAAAAAACGCGCGTTTTATGGAGAAGAAAAAATAAAAATAAAACATTCTCCTCTTCCACCTCCTCCTCCTCCTCCTCCTCCTATTCCACCTTCTCCTCCTCCTGCTTTTCCATATGAGAACCATTTTGAAACGTTCGATTCGAACTCTCGTAAATTTTCCAAAATTCTTTTTTTTTTTTTTTGACGTTTTCGAAACGAACCTGGAAAAATTTATTCCTCCTTTTCCGAAAAAATAAAAAAAAAATTTTTTTCATTCGTTATCCTGATGCAATTTAAAAAAAAAAAAAAAAAATTGCTCGGGGGTCTCCCCCTCATACGTGATCATTGTGTGAGTTCGACGACGACGACGAAGAAGTGAATTTTTTTTTTAAATTTTCCAAAAAAAAACAAATTCTCCAGTTTCCGCTTACGTCACCATCACCATCATCACCACCACCACCATCATCATCATCATCATTATCATCATCATCATCGTAAAAAATAAATATTTTACTAATTTTTTTTTTTTTTTTTTTTTTTTTTTCGGTTTAAAACTCAAAAATTCCATCTTTGTAATTTATTTACCAAACGCGGCGTTCCTAACAAAATTATTATTATTATTTTTTTTTCACTCTCCCCAGGTTTTCCAGGTTCATGCCTAATTTCCTAAGAAAATCTTAGCCTTTAAGGTTTTTATTTTAATTTTTTTTTCGGCTCCCCGTTTAGAAAAAAAAAAAGATTCAAACGTTTAACTCTTTAAGTCATCGCTTCCCTGATCCATGACCTCGTGTTTGTAGTATCCCTACAATCATCATCATCATCATCATCGAAAAAAATATAAGATTTTCTAGTAAATCCATCCATTCATCCAACCAACCAACCCCGAGGCTCCATTTATTATTCTAAATAATAATAATAATAATTTTTTAATGGTTTTTATAGAATCGCACACACAACGTCGACACAATCATTTTGAAAATTCCAGGTTATAACAATTTCCAGGAATTTCAAAAAAAAAAAAAAAAAATTCAAATCTACTTTATTACGATGATGATAATAATAATAATTGACGTGAAGGATTTTAAAATTCGACAACGTTAAGTAAATAAATAAAATATTCTGCGGTTTTTTCCGTCCCTTGTCCCTTTTTGAACTTTACATTTTGTTAATTATTTAAATCTGAAGGTGAAATTTATTAACCGAATCACCTGCTGCTTTGTTTTTCCTCTTTTTTTTTTTTTTTTTCGTCTATTTTCCTTTTCCTTCAACCTTTCTCTTCCCTTTCCCTCCCTACCCTCCGTCTATCCCCCCGTCGGTCCAAATCATTATTTTCCTTATTCTAGAAACGAGGAAAAAATGAGACGAAAAACATTCAATTTTTTTTTTTTTTTGGAAGAATAAATAAAATTCAAGTAACGTCGTAATAATTTGACAACGTTTAACGATACCAATAATAATAATAATAATAATAATGATTCGAGAGGAAAGAGAGAGAGAGAGATAGAAAACCCAAATTTTTCCTCTTTTTTTCTATCCCCGACAACATTGAAATTCGCGACCACGTTTCGACATCACATTTTTCATTTTGTGCATCAGGTGTGCGGCGTTTTATTAAAAAAAAATTATTATTATTATTATTATTTTTACGACCGTTATCATCATCATCATCATCTTCACCATCATCATCAACCTTACTCACTCAGTAGTCTTCCTATTGATTAATTTCGATCATATTCTCTTTTCTTAACGCTGTACTGATTCCTGCCATTAATTTACAAAAAAACAAAAAAAACAAGTTTTCGCGTCGTAGAAAAAACAAGTCAGCGAATGAAATTTAGCGCATGAAAAACCAGAAAAATTACCTTTTAAATAATTCATGACGACAACATCAAGAAAATTATTTTTTAAAAGTAATTAAAACTTTAAAAAAAAAAAAAAAAAAAAAAATGGCCAGGAGATCGTCGATCAATTAATTTTTTTGTTCAAAAAAAAAGAAACATTTCCCGTCATTTCCGCATCCTGCGTATATGCTTTCGAGAATAAATAACAATAATAATAATAATAAAACCCAATCGGAATTAATATTTTTTCGCATTACTTCGAATGAAAATTCTCAATTACTTCCCTTTTGGACGACCAATACAATCGATTTCTTTTAAATAAAATTGTGACGTGATAATGTGACGTAATGATAATTGTTTTTTCTCTTACCTTGCTGAAATATCCGACGGTGTGACATCCTTCCGAATCGCTGATCGTCATTACGTAAAATAAAAATGGTTCGACGTCGTAATAAAGAGTTTTGTGATCGAGAAAAAATTTCGCCAGCAAACATAAATTCTGACAGTATTGTTTGTACCTTTTACCATCCACTTCCCAAACGCTCAACCTGTTTTTTTTAAAAAAAAAAAAAAAAAAAAAAAAAAAAAAAACCATTTTTTATTTTCTCTTCTTGCTATTTAACTGAATGATAAAAAATCAAATAATAATAATAATAATAATAATAATATGATCGAACCTGTACACTTCCTCACCGGGAGGATGCCTCCAAACGCATTTAACAATGTGTCGTTTTAATATCGTTCTCGTTTTCATGTATCTCAAACAATATTCGCACAAATATAATTTGGGTAATTTGGCATAATCTTCCGGATATGGACTCTGATACCAAACTTCCATTTCGAACCTTCCCATTTCGACGTATTTCGTTTGTTTTATGTTCGGAAGAGTTTTCAAATCGTCTTCCTGTAACAAAAAATTCGGATTTAATTTATAAATTTTGAACCTTAACGAATTTAGTAAAATTATTATTATTATTATTATTATTATTATTTTTCGTCATACTATTTTTTCGCTGGCCATGGCTTGAGCTTCTTGAAATAATCTGAGATCGTGTTCGGAAGCGATTCCCTCCAGTCTGGGTTCTCTGTCTTTCTCTTCGGTTTTCACATCGTTGACATCCATTTTTTCTAAAAATTTTTCTCTCGCTTCTTTGACTTTCAATTGGTAGGTACGTTGCTCGCTGTTCAAATGATGAGAATGACTTTTGGGAGATTTACGACTCATTGCCTGAAAGTTAAAGAAAAACACGTTGAAATACGTATAAATTTACAAAATAATAATGATAATAATAAAAACTTACCATCACGGCTTTCTTCCTTTCGTCATCTCTTTTTTTTCTTTCCTCGGCCATTTTTCTACATTCTTCAGGTGTTTTATTGTGATACAAAGGACAAGCTTCGACCGTGAAATGTTTTTCGTAATTTCCTCCGAAGTGACCCAAACTGTTACAACCTTCAACCGGACATTTTCTTTCCGTGATTACGTCACACACGAGAGTTGTAGTTCTCGAGGGCAAACCTTTAGAATTTTTATTTCGATTGATGGGACCTTTTGGACCTACTTTTTTACCCGTTTTTGAACTCTTTACATCTAAAACACAATTATACATACATAAATTTATCAATTTTAAGTTTCAGATAATTTTTTTTTTTGCAATGCAATACCTGTTTCGGATTCGCTGTCGGTTCCAATTTTACCAGTTAAATGTTTCGATCTTCTAGCACTAGACGATCTTGTTAATTTTCTCGTTATTATTCCTCTTTTATTACTTTCGACTTCTGAACCTTCGGAAGTTTTCGATTTTGTCGGGTTTCTAGAATTTTCCGATTCTGTTTTTTCTGAGTCTTGTTTTTCCAAAATGGGCTTCGATTTTATTTTACTATTAACGATTGATGAGTTATTTGAGCTGTCAGAATCTGAAGTACTATCTAAAAAAATTACAAAGCATTAAATACAGGATATCATAGGAATTATAAAAGTTTATTTTAGGTTGTTTTTTTTGTGTAAAACAATTACCAGTAGAATCAGTTGATGAAGCACTGGCTGAACTCTTTGATCTTTTAGTATTTTTCTTGATTTCATTTTCTTTTAATTTGTTATTTAGCGATGTTTTCGATATTCCTTTCGAACTATTATTATTACTAACACCACTAGATTTTACATTTTTTTCTATATCGCTTTCACTTGAATTATCTGGACTAAAAATACTTCGAGCCTGAAATGAAATACAATATAATATTTAATTTTCTTTTAAGTAAGGATAAAAATTCTTTAACTTATTTCATGCACACCTTTGTAGAACTTTTGAGATTATTTTTGTCGGAGATTAACTTATGCGAATTTTCAGTTTTAGTATTTTTAACAGAATTTGAATTATTTCTAGCTTGTTTTTGTACTACATTAACAGTGGCAGTTACTTTGGGTTTAGTAGTCGATAATCTTCTTTTGACAGGTGCTGCTTTCACAGGAGCTTCATCTGATTCCGATGAATATATTGCGGAACCTTTTTTCAAATTGATTTGCTTTGAAGGAGCAACTTTTTTTTCTTCAACTTTTTTAGGTTTGGCAGTATTGTTAACTGGTTTTACTCTCTTTGACACATTTTTATCATTCTCAGGAGAAGATTTATTATTACTGTTTTGTGACGATGATGATTCTTCTGAATCTGAAAATGAAGAATCACTACCAGACGAACTTGATGATGAGGAAGATGAATTAGAACTACTTGTTGATGATGATTCAGAACTACTAGCACTTTGCTACAAAAAAAAAGTTACAAATATTTTTAATAAGATTATTATAATAAGAAATTGCTAATAGAAAGTTAAATTTTCAACAATTAGTGCGATTTGAGATTTAATAATGCGTCAATTATACAAATGTGGATAGGAAAAGAGTAAAAGAATAACGGATTTTAGAAAATATGTAAATGTAATAATGTGTAAAACAATTCAAAATTTTTGTAGCATTTTAAAAAAATTTACGAATATTACTTTACCTGATTAGTATAATTAGCAAAAGGTACGAATATAAAAAGAAATAATACTTATAAATATGTCACTTACTTGTTTTTTCGCATTCATTTTCATTAAATATATTTTTTTTAATAATTAAAACTAACGCAAACTGTTATAAGTAACAAATGTGTTCCACCATTTTTTTAAGATAATTATAAAATTGCCTCCGAGATGTAAAATTTTTTCTTTTGAACGGTAGCAAATTTGCTACGAACAATGTAAATTTAATTTAATTTTTCTTCACCAGGGGACACTCAACTTTCCAATAAATTTTTTTAAAAAATCACTATCCCAAAATTAGATTCTAAAATAAATAAAAAAATAATAATTTGACGAATAAACAGTAAATTTATTTTCATTTATAAATCAAAACGATATTTATTAAATAAACAATTTAATAAATTTAATAAAACCTATTAATATTATTTTCAAGCGTAGTTATTAATTATTTTAATAATAACTCATTTGTTGTGTTTTCCTCCATTTTCTTTTTTAACAATAAAATTATAATAAATCATTCAAATAATATTATAAAAATAATATCGAGAAATGAAAACTAAATAAAAATTTTTAAAAAAATTAAAAAGGTCGACTAAAATCATTTCGGTTTTATTTTTAAATCGAAACAAAGGGATAAAAATAATTTAAAAAAAAAAAAATCTCCATATTGAGAAAATTTAATTTTTCATTTTAAATTTTATTAAAATTATAAATCAAAAATTATTAAAATTTTTATTATAAATTATTAAAAAGGTATAAAACATTATATATATAAAAAATTTGCCAAGATTAATATTATCATCATCATCATTATTAACTTTTTTTTTTTTTTAAATATTTTGTTCAATCAAAATCAATTTTTATTATTAAAAATTATCATTATTATCTTTTTTTTTTTTTTTTTAAAGTTATTAAGGCGCCATCAAAATAATTTCTTTTTTTTTTTTTATTAAGAATTTTAATCAATGAAAAAACTAATTTTTACTATTAAAAAAAAAAAAATGGGGAGAGGGGGGAGGGAAAGAATTTAATAATAATTCTTTTTGGTTGAAACCATTGAAACTCACCTTAATGGCTTTAAAATAAATGTTACAGTTTCATGTATCTAAGAAATAAAAAAAAAAGATAGATGTATATAAATTATATACGGGAAAGAAAAAGATGAATAAAAGTTGAAATAATAATAATAATAATAATAATAATAATAATACCGGAAGCCTGAAATTTTAATGAAACGCGTTTTTTTTTAAAAAAAAAAAAATAATAAATTTATTAAAAGGATAATTTAAAGCTGTTCATTAGCAGTAAATACAGGTAGCAGATTTATAATAAAAAAAAAAAAAATTACTTTTAATAATTGATTTTTGGAGAAAAAAAGATTAGTTTTTTGTTAAATACTCGTTTTGAACGTTTTAATTATCATCATTATCATCATTATCATCATCATCGTCATTCTCGTCGTCCTCGTCGTCCTCGTCATTTTTATTAATAATTTTTAATTACGTGTATATATAAAATTAAATAAAAATATCCAATTGTTATTTTCGACATTATAAATCGTGAGGAGAGGAGGGGAGGGAAGGGAAGGGGTGGGAAAAACCCCAACGGGGTAGTTTTTAAACAAAGAAAGAAACAGCACCACCACCACCATGAATGAATGCGAAAATGGAAAAAAAAACTTTTTTGAAACTTTTTATATATATTTTATCACGTAGTAAATTGGAAGTAATTAAAAAAAAAAGGTTAACTACCTGTTCGACTAAAAAAGACCACTACTACCACTACCACTACCACTATCACCACTAAACTTCTTTTTTTTTAAACTAACTAACTCAGACTTGTTTTTTTTTCTGCACAATGAAAATCATAAAAAAATATATACGATAGGTGGTTGATTTGAAACTCATGATGAACGATAAAAAAGAGAAAGAGAGAAAAGCGGCAAATGGTAAAGTAATTCACCTGTCTTATGAGAGAGAGAGAAACACCGCAAACCCAACAACAACCCACCTGCCCTACCAACAACAACAACCACAACAACAACAACATCCTCCACCAACATCATCCATTCAATTTAACTGAGTCTTTAATTAATCCTTTAATGGCGTCTTGTCTCTCTCTCTCTCTCTCTCTCACTCTCTCAGACTCCGTCAAACTTTTTAAAAAAAAAAAAGATTTTTTTCCTTATCTTACTAAAAAAAAAAAAAATTCTTTTCACGGTTTTAATGAAATCGTTTTCTCTCTCTCACACTCATTCACTCTCTCTCTCTCTCTCTTTTTCTATGAATCGTTTGAGTACTTATGGAATATTTTGCTTGTAAGGTTCCCCATACGCACACGCATTTGTTACATTGGAAAAGAAAAACCGTGGGGAGCACATATACATAATCGGGTGATACCTGAATAAATTAAGAAATAAAAAAAAATACATTATTATCATTATCATTATCATTATTATTATTATTATTATTATTATTATTATTATTTTTTACGAGAGTATCCATAATAAAAACAAATTATTGCTACGTAAGGATTTAAATAAAAAAAAAAAAATTCTTTGAAATTAATTTTTTATTATGTTTAGTAGACAATTAAAAATGTTATTAAAACTCAAGACAAGACAAGATAAAGTAAATTTTCATAAATAAAAACTCTGTTGTCGGTTGTCGATTGATTCATTCATACATTCATTCATTCATTCATTCATTCACTTAATACGAACGTTAAAATAATCGATTTTAACGACAGCAAATTCATTTCAAAGAATTTAATTGTAGCAAAATATTTATTAAGTCATTAATGAATTTTCTTTTTTATTTTCCTTTGTTTTGTATTTGTCGGAATTTTCACAAAGGAAAAAATTTTTCCTTGACATCAAACGAAATGATAATAATGATAATAATAATAATAATGATGATGATGATGATGATAATAAAATTCGTACCGGAAACAGTTTTTAAAAAAAATTTCGGAAAATTTTGTATGAGTGCGTGGCAGGCGAACGAGCGCGAGAGTAATGATCTTTTAATTTTTCGTTTGTTGTTACAATTTAATTTGAATTTTAATTTCGTAATCTAACAAACGAACAAACGAACGAACAAACAAACAAACACATCACACTCGAGAATATCGATTACAAATTAAAAAAATTATTCGCTCATTCGAATAAAACTCGTGTGATGTTCGTTCCCCATGATTTTTCACTTAATTAATTTCATAAAAAAAAACGTTCTGGAATTTTTTTTTTAATGCCACGACAAACAAAAATTTAAAAATCGATTCTACAAGCTTTCAATAATAATAATAATAATGATAATAATAATAATAATAATTTTCAGTACGATTTTCACAGCGTAATTTATTTATTCCTACACATAAATTTACTGCGGATGCTCCCGTTTAGAATTTTTTTGGTCCTCCCCTTTCCTCCCCTCCTTTCCACTTACCCCCGAGTTATAATCATATTATTATATTATATAAATATACATTAGACTTATTTAAATATAATATATGTAAAATAATATTATTATTAATATCGATTTAATAATAAACGTCAAAAAACGATAAGATTTATTTTATATATTTATATAAAAAATCGGCCATTTTGTTTTTTTTTTTTGCTTACTCTCGAATATTTAAATAAATAAATTGTTATACATAAATAAATATATATGTACATAATTTTTTTTTTATTATTATTAATTTATTTCTCTGATTTATTTATTATTATTTTTTTTTTTTAATCGATAAAAATTGTTTTCCAACTTTAATATATTATTATTATTAATTAATAATTAATATTTTATTTTTTAATAATGTTGTATTTATTAACCGAGTTGATTACGTTATTATTATTATTATTAGTCCACGTCTCTTCGTTGTATTATTATTATTATTATTACGTCGTTGGAAAGAATGAATACATAGTATTCTTTTTTTTCTTTCTTATTTATTGTTTTGCAACAAATGTTAACGTATAAAAAAATAAAATAAAATTTATGTTTATTATAAAAACCCTTCGGTTACGTTTTTTTTTTCTTTAAATAATTATATATATGCGGGTATGCGCGTTTAACGCGCGTAATAATAATTTTATATATTTATCATATGAATAAAAAATTATTAATAATGATAAATAAAAAAAAAAATATATATTCATATGCATAATAACATATAACTTTCGTTTTTATTAAGTAATGGAAAAAAAAAAGAAAGTATATATTATTAGTATTATTATTATTATTTTAATTATGAGTATAATCCGTGATTTCATTATCATTATCATCATCGTCGTCGTCGTGACGATCAATAATAAATTTTTAATAAGTGTTTTTGTTGTTTTAAAAAAATGTAATTGTTGGAAAATTCATGCGAACAATGTTATAAGGTGATCATTAAATGAATAAAAAACGCAATGCGTAATGTAAGAAAAACGCGCGGTTTAAACGCACGCGTAATTAAAATTTTAATTTTTTTTTATCGACGAAAAGTGTTTGAAAATTCAAAAAATAATTTATTAAATAAATAAAATTATTGTTTTTTTGTTGTTGTTTGTTTGTTTGTTATTATTATTGGGGGGACTTCGAGCTAACGAACAAACGGGAAGAAAATAAAAATTGGTAGAGAAAAAAAGAGAGAGAGAGATATACAATATGTATGAGAAAGTGATAATTATAAAGAGAACGAGAGAAAAAGAGAAAAAAAGACACAAAAAAAATAAGAGAGAGAGAAATACAAATAGAAAGAGTGTGAGAGAGAGATGTAAAGAAAATGAGAGACAGATAGATTTAAAGAGAAAGAGAGAGAAAAACATAAAAAAAACAAAACCAAAGAGACGAAAAAGAGAAAAAGGAAACAAAGAAAAAGGAAAAGAAACAAAGAGAATGAGAAACAGAGAGAGAGAGAGAGAGAGAAATACAAAGTGCGAGAGAGAGGGAATGAGATAGTATGATACTAATATTATTAAAATAAAAAGTGAGAGAGAGAGAGAATATTTGGCAAATAATGAAAACAAATAATTCACAAGTTACACAGCAAACTACAATTTTTCTTTTTTATGTTTTAAA